GTAAAAAGACCTATGGCTGTTTCTGTCTGAATATTATATAAACTAATTCCATATAAATTAGGATAATTTGCAGCAAGAAGAATACGCTCCATTGATAGTGATTCAAGATCGAGCCACTTGATTTTTTGATGAATTTCAGGTAAAATATATAAACAAATTCGATCAACTATTGAATTAGGTAATGAATAAACGAAACCATTTGATGTAGACAGAGTAAGAGTCAAATGATTTGTAAAATCAGAATCACGTACAATTTTATTTAATCGTTTATTGACACCTACTAAAGAATAAAGTATTTCCATATTAGCCAATTTTTTAAAAATAATCATAAGAATTTCATCAGGTAAATCATTCAATTGAATACATGAATATTCCATGTTCATCTATACCTATATCTATTTTGCTTATCTTACAAATGTTCATATTTATATCGACATACTCATATGTTCTATTTGACCGATACCGCCAGTATAAACAATGACACATTTTTCTTTAGTGTAAATTGACGATGAATGAATAAATAATTGATCGAATAATTTTTTTTTCTCTCACTTTTTGTTCAACGCATAATTTTATAGGCGAATAAAAATTTAGAAATTTCTTTATTATTCTTCGTATTTTAATATACCAGATTTCATAGCTATGAGTATATTCATGTTTGATAGGATTTATTTTTTGAAAGTGAAAAATAATTCCATTTTTAAAGGACGAAGGTGGATTTGATAGCAAAATGAGTCCTATTTGAAAACTAACAGAAAGCGTTACTTATTATAAATATTTTCAAAGATAATTAGTTGCACTTTTCTCAAGACACCATTTTATCATAATCAACTGAGAGTTTTCGGACTGATACGACGATATTATAATCTATAGTGGTTGACTATCGTATGATATTCTAGGGTGTGGGTGTGTAGGTGTAGATGTGCGATGTGGCCGAAGAGAAAAACCACACCCACATCCAAATATTGCATGATTTTCTTTAAATTTATCGAATGACTTATTGTTAATTCATATTGATGAATTAACATCAACAATAATTTGTTTACGATATGTTGAATGAAATTCAATTTTTGGTATTGTCGAAACAGTTAATTGAATTTATTTACTATCACAACCAAATTCATTTTGAATTTCGAATGTATATTGTCCAACATCATTTTCTTGCACCTACTTTATATAAAGAATAAAAATATCTTGTACAAGTGATGATTATGTCGTCTAGTTGTTAATGGTAATTTTTGACCACTTTTATACTAAATTATTTCACGTTCAGGTGAACCAATAATTGTTGCTTCAATACGACCATGACTACCACCATTTATTGTTTGATTAAAGAATTTTTCAATACGTGATGAAATACCTTGTCGTGGTGCTCGAATAAAGATAGAGCAATCTGTTTTTGAATATGCACTTGAACCAGGTTGATTACGTGCAACAATATGAGATTCATATTCATTCACCATTTGTTAATAAATTATCTATTTTATGAAAACATTCAGTTATAAGTGCTATGTTATCCATACGTGTAAATAATGGATTATATTTAAAACATTGTTCAACTCTATATTCAATAATTGAACTATCATTATCACGAATAGATGATTTTCATGAAAGTATGCATGATGTATCAGTTAATTCATTTATATCAATAGGTTCTGGTTTTGTTGGAACATCATATGGATATTTAATTGTAACAGATTCACTTC